CCCAAAAATGAACCCAAAAATGAACCCCAAAATCACCCCCCCAATGAACCAAAAATCCCCAAAAACGGGGAGGGCCCCCCCAAATCAGCCTGAAAATCACCCCAAAATCAACCCAAAAATGAACCCAAAAATGAACCCCAAAATCACCCCGAAAATGAACCAAAAATCCCCAAAAACGGGGAGGGACCCCGAAAATCACCCCGAAAACGAACCCCAAAAATGAACCCAAAAATCCCCAAAAAACGGGGAGAGACCCCAAAAATCACCCCAAAAATGACCCAAAAATGAACCCAAAAACAGGGCGGGACCCCGAAAATCAACCCAAAAATCACCCCCAAAATGAACCCCAAAAATGAGGAGGGACCCCAAAAACCGACCTCAAAAATGAACCCCAAAAACAGGGTGGGGACCCCGAAAATCAGCCTGAAAATCACCCAAAAATCACTCCAAAAATTACCCCAAAAACTGAGAGGGACCCCAAAAACCGACCCCGAAAATGAACCCCAAAAAGAGGGAGGGACCCCAAAAAGAGACCCCAAAAACAGGGGGGGACCCCAAAACCGACCGAAAAAAGGAATCCCAAAAATGGACCCCAAAAATCGGGAGGGACCCCAAAATTTGGGATGGGAAATGAGGGGGGGACCCCAAAAATTAGGGGTGGGAAATGAGGGGGGGAATCCCAAAAATTAGGGGTGGGAAATGAGGGGGGGTCCCCAAAATTTGGGGTGGGAAATGGGAGGAACCCCAAAATTTGGGGTGGGAAATGAGGGGGGGGACCCCAAAAATTAGGGGTGGGAAATGAGGGGGGGACCCCAAAATTTGGGGTGACGGCGGCGTTCCCCCCCAGGTGCGTCGGGCGGAGTTCCCAGCGGTGACCTGAGACACCCCAAAATTTGGGAACCCCAAAAATCGGGGTCCCAAAATTTGGGGGAAATGTGAAAATTTGGGATCAGGAAATTTGGGAAACACCAAAAATCAGGATCCTAAAATTTTAGGAATCCCAGAATTTGGGAACCCCAAAATTTGGGACCCCAGAATCTGGAGAATCCTGAAATTTGGGATGCCGAAATTTTAGAAATCCATAAATTTGGGAACCCCAAAAATTGGAATCCCAAAATTGGGGGGTGTCTGAATATTTGAGGAATCCTGAAATTTGAGATCCTGAAATTTTAGGAATCCATAAATTTGGGAACCCTAAAAATTGGAATCCCAAAATTTTAAGAATATGTAAAATTTGGGATCCCGAAATTTTTGGGGATCCCGAAATTTGAAGGGGGGGAGGGGAATTTTTGGGGTGGGGGAGGGGCAATAAAGCGACTTTGTGTGACCCCCCCGAGTGCTCTGAGGGGAATTTTGGGGGTCCCGGGGGGGATTTTGGGGGACCCGGGGGGAATTTTGGGGTTCCCGGAAGGGATTTTGGGATTTCCGGGGGAATTTTGGGGTTCCCGGGGGGTTTTGGGGTTCCTGAAAGGGGATTTTGGGGTTCCCGTGTGGAATTTTGGGGTTCCCGGGGGGTTTTGGGGTTCCTGAAGGGGATTTTGGGGTTCCCG